GCTGCTGGTCAGCGGGAGGCCCGTGCTCAGTGTGGATCTGCTCCTTCAGCTGCCGGACAGTGTCGGTGGGCTTCACCATGTAGGTGGTGGTCCGGTTCTTGTCGTCCTTCACAAAGACCTCCATCTTCTGGGGCTCAGTCTGCAGCAGCACCAGTGTGGTACTGTAGAAGATGCCATAGGTAGCCAGGGTCTTGTCATCCTCCAGGATGAGGTTGCTCCTGTTCGGCTCCTGCTGTGCCAGGCGCTGCCTGTACCAGGGGATGCCCCACGCCTCCTCGATCATCTCCTTCAGCTGCCGGATGGTGGTGCCTGGGCTGACGGTCCTGCTCAGTCCGGTGCCCACCAGCTGCCTCACCTCAATCCTCACAGGCCGGGCTGGCTGCAGGGACAGGAGAGTGGGTGGGGAAAGCTGGCAGGGGCAGGGGCAGGGGGGCCATGATGCATGCGGGCGCAGGCAGCCTTACCTGCACGTCCCAGGACCGGGCAGTATTGACGCAGGGCAGCGAACAGTGGCGGGCAGCTTCCTGTGCCACCAGGTCCCAATTCTTGCCTTGGCCCAGGATCCCTGTGGGGTCGGCAGGGTCCAGGATGACAGGGCTGCGAACACAGAGGGTGGGGGCTGCCATCAGCCCCAGGCAGTGCCATGGGGCAGGTGGCATGGGTCACACCAGGCATGGTCCTCACCGGGGACTGTGCAGCAGCCTCTTCACGTGGGCACCGATCTGGCTGTGCTGGAGTGAGTAGATGTCTCCCAGTAGATGCAGAGCTCCCGGTACCGTCGCAGCAGCTCCAGCACCGTACGGAAGCCCTCGGCCATGACGAAGGACTCACAGGAGCGCGTCCCCTCCTCCCAGGCATAGATGGTCAGCAGCTCCAGGGCATACTTGGGGGGCAGGTCTGCGGTGCGGTACCGTGGCTTCAGCATCTGGGGAGAAGATGGGGATGGGGGTGAGACCTGGCTGGGGCAGGTGCCCAGTGGGTGTTGGGGAAGCCAGGCAGCCCCTCACCTCCTTGTACCAGTGCTTGACCAGGCGCAGGAGGTTCTTCAGCTTGGCAGGGTAACGCTTCACAAACTTCTTCTGCAGCTCAGTGAAGCAGGGGGAGAACTCCCCGGGGTCACTGCTGGCCTTCAGGAGCTCCACATACACCCCCGCATCTGGCAGGACATCCTGGCTCACCTGTCCTGTGGGGCAAGAAGGAGGGTGAGAGCCATCCCGGTGCTGATGCCCCAGCCCAGCCCCATGCCAGCTCACACCCCTTACCCAAGGCATCGTAGGCGGGCAGAATGTCCACCTCGATGGACTCCAAGTTCTCCTTGGACTGGAGGGTGAGGCTGAGGGAGCGCGGCGTATTGCCAGGACCCTTGTACCGGGGCTCGCTGATGTCCACAGTGAACGTCAGGCTCTGCTTGCAGGCGTGCAGCCTCCTCTCAATCAAATTCAGGATATAACTTCTATCCTGCTTCTGCTGCTGGTAGCTGGAGAAGCAGCTGAGGAACAGCACCACATCGGCGTCAGAGTTGTTCCGCAGGGCTGTGCCCTTGCCTGCCGAGCCACCCTGCAGAGAGATACCCTGCCTGCTCAGCACCGCTGCCCGTCAGCACAGGGATCACCTGTCACCATTCCTGGAGCTGCCAGGGGATACCGAGGCAGGGCAGGAGCTGGAGCAGCGGGACAGAGGGAAGGGTGGCAGCAAGGGTGCCAGCTATCCCCCAAGCTGAGCCCCCCCCCACCTTGACGGTCTTGTGGACACGAATGTTGGTCTCGAAGCAGTCCTCCTTCAGGAAGTCGCAGATCTGCTTCACCGTCTGCTTCACCTGCTTGCAGAAAGCCGTGCTGGGCTGCAGAACGTCCGCGATCCAGCCGTCCAGCTTGTTGGCGGGCACCGTACTCAGCCCGTTTGTGGATGTCATCGCCCACAAATCCATCTGCCCTCTCC